AGCAGGACGTACCGTAAGCGTCTATAAGCCTCGGAAAGCTCAAAATGAAGAATGATCGTTCAGGATGGCTCCCTTTTTTGACGCCATCTCTGCTGCTAGTCTAAAGTAATATGTCATTGCACTCTTTCTTATCCTGGAGATGTGGAATTGGCCGCATATCAACTCGCAGGAAAATTGCAGGGAAGAAATGCATGCTGGGTAAAAAGAATAAACAAGGCTGTCACCAAAGTTGTGGAAAAATCCTTCTCGGCAAGCGCTACTGTCAAAACGCATCCTCCATTTCATACATTATTAACATTACCTAAACGCATTATTTGTGTATTTATTCATTCATTTGTCTTGTTAACATCCTCCCGGAGTGAGATAAACAGCTGCGGCCAGACGGGATGTGTGACAGTTTGTGAGATTTGAATAATAAAAAAAAAAAGAGTCCCGGGAAAGCGTGATGGGAGTGAGACAGCAGCAGAAGCGGCGGACACCGAGACTTCGCTCTCCGCTCATTAAGGGACAGTGTGAGGCGATGATGTCGGATCGGTGTGCACTTTACCGCCGCGCCTCTCTTTGAACGCCGGCGCCCTCTTATCTGCGACATGCTCTGTTCCTCCATAACAAGAACGCGCACGCTCCTCCGCACACACACAAACACACACAGCTTTTACTTTGTGGATATAGCAAACTCATAAAGCTCCAGCGCGTCCTTTTGGTAGCTTTTGTACTATTTTTTCCCCCACGTTATCAGAAAAGGCCCACAGCGTTGTCCCTCTTTCCCCCCGTTTTTTGCTGCATAGGCATCACAAATGGATATTTTAATTGGAACTTTTGGCGCTGTCTCCATCTTGCGTTGGAACGGCAGACAAGTGAGTGGTTGGCCCAGGCTGATTGGTGTGTAGCGAGCTGTGCCTAAATCTGCTGGAAGCGTGAGCAGCGGCTGATTCTGAGTGGCGTTCGACGCATGGCAGTCTTTCTATAGAATAGTCCGGGATAACTAACATGAAGGAGACAAAAGCGCCCGCCTTCTTAAAGCATGACTTCCTCGTTGTTTTCTCAGGGCTACTGCTTGTCTTGCTGTTCGAGTGTCACTTTAAGAAAATGTGTGCTCAAAGAACATATTTTAAACTATCAAAACAAATAAAAATGAATCACTAGTCTCATTAATTATACAACACACCTGTCTTTACAATTCCCAAAATAGTTGTGGCTTTGAGTTATCTTTACATGAAAGAAGTCGATGTAGACGGAGGAGTCTGGACTGAGCCATTAAAGCGGCGTCTGTTGTGTTGACTCTTGTGCTGAAGAGTAAACATTTGCAACATGGCTTTTGGCTTGAGGTGTTTGTAGTGGGCTGTTCAATAGCATCATAACAACATCTGATACACAATGAACCACACACATCCAATGGACAGCAGATCCACTGCACCTTATGTTTTTGTTTGAAATGTGTGGCAGAGTATGTCTAAATAGTTTATCCACGCGTGTACCTTTTGGACATTTTTAAGAATGGAATTCTTCCTTTTCCTGTGTTGTGGGAATTAAGAGGAAATGGATCAGTGGCCCCAGATGACATGTGAGGCCTGCTGCTGCTCTGCAGAGACTGCCTCTTGGCTCGAGCCGAGCCAGTCTAATGCAAACCACATGCTGCTGCGGCGCATCTGCATAAGCACACACCTGTTTAAACTGTGGACACTCGTCACCTCCAACAGTAAATTCAGGCACACCAGGCCGAGTGCGTCTGCAGTAGGTCAGGCCGGAGTCGTTCTAATCCTCCTCGACATAATGTGCTCCTTGTGTTCAGATGGAGGAGAATGGCTTGTGCAGGTGGGGCTGTGTGATCTGTGCTCAGCCCATGTAAATAAATGTTGTGCTATGAGTGTGTGTGTGTGTGTGTGTGTGTGTGTGTGTGGAGAAGGGGGGTCACTCTCTCTACTGTGGACTCAGTGCTGTGTAATTACCTGGCTGTCTGCCACAGTCCCACCAGAGCACAGACACAAGTGGAGCAGTGTCTTACACTGTGTAACTCGTCCCAGCAGCGTATCTGAACCGCTGGGCCTCTGCTGCAGCCGGCCAGGGCTCACATCCACACAGGGTCATGGGAGATTTGCAAAGATTTGATTCTATTGCAAGAGATCATGTAATCTTTAGGCTTTCTGATAATAGTTGGCTTTTCATCAACAACATGTGTGTAGCAGTATTTATTTTAAATGGATACACAAACAATTCAACCATAGATGCATCTCTGATAGTATTATTGTTTTCTCACACGCATACGTTAATTTGGCCATTCTCTCGTCAATTGACAAACTCTCCAGACACCTGTTGCAGTAAAAACTGTCTGTGAACAGTATCAAAATAATAAAAGATAATTAGCATGAATTAAAGTTTCAATCCACAGGCGTGTGGCTCTGCCCCGTCCAGTGGCATGTGGAGATGCTTGTGTTGTGTAATGCCTAATAGACTCGTTTCTGTGCTGAGTGACAGATCAGGAAATGCTGCACTACTGCTACAGGCTAGAACACTTTTAACAGACAGACACAGACGGAAACATGGCCGGCCAATCAGAGGACAGGAGACGCTGGGAGACAGATTTACAGCTCTGGCCTAAAGAACACTTCTCAACTGTCATGTGTCTTCAAGTTGCTTCATCAGCCACTGAGAGCCCCTCTGCTCTCTTAACCCGTGAAGGGCCCAGGTCCAGGGTGCACATGCAGCTGTGTATTGCTGTGTCAGCCAGCCATTTTAATTGTTATATCTCCTTTGCCTTGATATGAGCAAAAAGGAGGTCTCTGCACAACCTGGCACATCAAAGGCCAGCTCCCCCTAGTCTTACAAGTTGCCTGTCTCTTTTGGAAGATCCCTGCACCGGAGAAAGAGATTGGACAGACAGCAGCAGCAGCAGCAGCAGTATATTGGATTGAGTTTGATGGACTAATTGTAGCCCCCAGTGGACACAGGCACACATCACAGCGGGCCGTCGGATTTGGAGAACAAACCAGAGAGATGCTTTGTCAATTAGTCAAAAATCCTTCATCATCATTGAAACTTATTTTGTTCTTTACATGCTGATCCATTTAACCCGTATAGATACAAAAAATTAACTAGGTGCGATGTGTTACCCATAAATAGTTGGTTGAATGTTTATTTACATTTTGAACAGTGGTGCTTAGGGCTAAGATACACACTGACAGTCTCCTCAGGCGTTGCACACACGGTGATGTAAGGCCTTCAACGTTCTCTGATGAGGTGGATGTCCGAGGCAGTTATAGGACTGTCCTGTTCAGGCCGATACAGTGGCGATAGAAACCCCTTTGAACGGTCTGCATGTTCTTCATCTGCAGCAAAAAGAACACAGGATCCCAAACTTTTGAGCATGCATATAGTTTCTCCCCTGTGCTCCTCTCTTCCAGTATTAGTTTTGCAGTTGTACATTAAGCCACAGGAGTGAAGCACAGTTAAAAGAAGAAAGGCGCAGGGAGATGACATCGGCAAGGAAGCGCCTGGTGCTGGGTAGGGCCCTGGATGCGTAAAAATCAATTGCAGGGAACACTTCCATACACGGAAATGGCACAATGGGAGGGAGGGCAGGGAGTAAAGATTTTTTTTTTCTTGAAAAATGATGCATTTGTTTTACCCAGGGAGACAAACAGCAAAGCACGAGGAGAGAGAGAGAAAAAGAGCTCTCTTCTGAACATCTTTTGAAAAACTGCTCTGTCTTTGGTGAGGTTGAGTTGTGTGGTTAAGGTTTGTTTTATCCAACTGTGCGGAAGCGTGTGTATCTGTCTTTCAGGTCTCTTTTTAGTTGAGGCGCAGAAAGACTACTCGTGGCATGTTCAAGGGCACTCAGTGGACACAGATGCCCTGCAGGAGGCGGAATTATGAATACAACATGAGTAAACAGACACCTACATATACTATTAAAATAGTGAGCCTAGTGCTTGGCAACAAACCATTGAAAGGAGTAATTTGAGCTGGTCCATAGCAGTTCACCCTCCCTCCCTGCTCTGAGGTCACTGATAAAGACTTGTGTAAAATCGGTTCTAATTTGCCTGATAGTGGAATGATTTGCACATTGGCAGTAATGTATTCCTGTGTGCATTCCTCCAATACAACCCTTTTAGTATTCTGTTTTGTGATAAAGGATTTTTTTACACAGCAGCTGTGAACAAAGAATACAATAGCTCACAAACTCGAAACACAATTCCAAGACTGAGCCTTGAATGGCATTCAGACAGCAGTGTGAGTGAGCGCGCCCATTCAGGAGTGCGCTGCAGTGGAGATGCTATCAAGTTGCCTGCAGATGGAGGTCAGTGTGACTGGCACAGTTGGCAACCTTGGCACTGGCTGTAGTTGCAGAAGCACTTAGCTCTGCATTGACTGAAGGGGACCGGGGAGCAAAACGTTCTTCTCATTTCTCTCTTTTTTTTTGATTGTCTGCGCTTCCTGTTTTGAAAGCCATTAAGGAGCAAATTTCCTCACAGCGAGAGTAGAGATGAAAAGACCCTGTCTTTTGAATCATGTCCAAGTACAAATGTGAGAAAGAGGGTGAATGATAGCTATCTGTAAACATCTCTGTTCGAGGGGTCGACGGAAAAGGAATTGTGAGCGAGAAAATGATACATTCATTTGCGTTCTTCTTTTTTGATTTGCTGATGAAAGCGATGCTGCAGTTTTTGTTCCACACCAGCTGTATTGCTCTATTCAGTGACACATTAATGTATGAGGGCAGGCACAGATAACTGCTCTTCTTCCAGCCTGTAACCCCCTTCCGAAAAGGCTTTGTGACATCTGCATCCACACATGTCCCATTCACTCCACAGAATATTTATAGACAAGCTTTTGTCATCCATTCATGCCCTCTGAGCATCTGATCCATGAACTGTACATTTCTCTTAAGCAATATTTGCAGCGTTATCAGACATGCATGTATTTGAACTGACCTGGCTCTGGACTCAGTCACTTTAGATTTTGGCATATTTCATATTTACACCAGTTTCCTCTAAGCTGTTATGACTCCTTACAGCAGCAGTAGCTTGGTGCTGGAGACTCTTCCTCCTCCCTCCCCTGTCTCTCCCTCCTCTTCCCCTCACTGCCCCAAGCCTGGCCAGTCTGTGCCTCTTAATAAAACTGACAGGCTCTAATTGGGTTTAATTGCACCCTTCGGGCGTCGTCAAAAGGAGTGTTGCTAAACAAACTGCAGGGTCTGCAAGCAGGCCAGCCAGTCTGCATGTGTGTGTACTATCCACCACAGCACCACCATTACTCCCAATATCTCTGTTAAGCAGCACATTAGGAATGTGTACAAATAAGCCTCAGATGATCTGTGTCTCTGTGCTGAGGCCGAAAGATGTAACCGGCCCTTTCACTGTTCACAATGAGCCAACAGAACAAGAGCTTACAAGTCGGAGAATCTTATGCATTCAAGCAGCCGCATCACCTGACTGTGAACCTCTCTGCGCTCGCTCAGACAGTAAAACATAGTGCGTCTGTGTCTTTGAGGAAGTGTCGACAACTCCAGGTGTCAGAAAAGCTGTTAAATCCTTCTATTATACAAGAAACCAAGCAAACAAATCCTCCCCTGCTTCTCTGTGCTATAGGCAAAAGGCCGCAGCACAGCACATCAGCAGCACCCCCTCCTGGTTGATGGACAGGGCGAGCGGGTTGGGACTGAGCTCCCTGTTGGGCCGGGCTATCACTGAGGCCACATTAGCCTCTGCCGGGTCACTGAGCACAATCGATGCTCTGAGTCATTGAAAATAGCTGCATAAGTGTGTTTGTGTTGGGCATCAGCTGGTGCTGACCCCTGAAGTTCTAACCTGTGTGGAGACAAAGAGATAATCACATTGTGTCCCCCTATATACCTTTGAACCAGCTCTCATTATAGCCTTCCGCTGACACTTTTTGCTCTGAAAAGTTTTTCGAGTTTGTTTTGAAAGCTTTCATCGAAGGAACACCACCGACAGGATCCTTTGGGTTGTGTACTGGGCGAGAGAGGGAAGGACGGCGGCAGTGTTTTTGTCCAGGCCAAAGTGGTGTAATGATGCAGTGGCCAGAGCTGGAGGCCCCATAAAGACCAGGAGGACCTCATTTCAGCAGCCTACTGCTGCTTCTGTGTCTGACGAGCTGCCTCTGTCACCCCTTCTTTTAGGATACGAGGCAGAGCACATAATTAAGATATACAACCCAGCGTGGCCTGAATATATAGCCTGAAAGTATAGAGGAGCGCAGCAGCCGGCCTCAATCGCAGCCTGTGGTTCAGTGTTTGGCTGCAAGCGGTGCCCAAGTCTGCACCAGTGTGTGTGTGTGCGTGTGTGTGTACGGGTGTGTGTGTGTGTGTGTGTGTGTGTGTGTGTGCACGTCTGTCAGCGGTCAGAGCAGCGTGCTATAAAAGGCTGGTGAGTCGAACCATCGCCTCTCTGTGTGCAGGGGTCACGCTGAGCCAAACGGAGCATGACTTCCCACACGTACTCTGTCCACTCTGAAGATGTGTGTGTCTGTGTGTCTGTGTGTGTGTGTGTGTGTCTCTCTGTGTGTGTGACAGAGGACAGTGATATTGCTCTATCAGCGAACATGTTGTCTATAAATTAAATGCGAGGTATTCAGAAGTATATTATGTCTGAATCACTTTCTATTCTGCTGTGAACCAATCTTCTTACAGTGAATCATTTCTTTTCTAGCATCACTTAGTCTCAGAATCTTGTACCTTTCCTCCACATCCAGCCACAGTTATAGAAGCAGCCATCCCATCTGACCCCAAACGTGTCCCCTCTCTGTCCTGCCCCATGTCATATATAATCCTGCTGTCCCGGGGCAATAGCGTGTATCTGAGAGGACACATCCTCCTGCCTCACCCCCCTGTCTCCCCCCTCCTGTCCCGCCCAGGCCGCTCCAGCGCTTTGTCAACCTCTAATGATAACTATCCATCAAGAGCAGAGGCCGCACTCTTTGGAAACGAAGATGGATTGAATTAGCGTTGAAGTGCGCCGGCCGCTGCATTGTGGCGATAACCCGTGATTACGCTGTCAGGAGTCGCCCCCCCACACTCCCGCCTCGCTGACTACCCCCCCCCCCCCCTCCCTCCTTTGAGCAAGACATTGAACTTTACACATTACACCAGTGTTGATTACAAGGTCTGCGGTCTGGGTTGATTCGCTTCATGTGGTTCCTAATGGCAAGTGAAGGGCCCAGTAGTTTGTGGTATATCATAGTGTGTGTGTGTGTGTGTGTGTGTGTCGAATCAATAGCCGTGATCAAGTCATTGTGGCATCGTTGTAACAGCGCTGAAAACAATAGCAAAAGGATTAGGAGCGTGTTATTTGGTGTCATTGTCCCGGACACAAGGAAAATCACATGGTTCTGGGATCGCTTGGAAAAAGACACATTTACTGTTTGTCATTCTCCAGCTTGTGAATGTGAAACTGCACAGATTTCTTCTGTAGGCATGATTCCAATCAGATGTATTTCAGATAGAACTTGTGTTTGGGTTAGGGTTATTTATCTGGTATAGCTTTGTATGTAGTCAGTAACATGTCTTAAGGCTTGACAGAAGCTGGAGCAGTTCTCAGCAGTATAGGCCTGTATGGGGCAGTAATGTTGACACCATTAACTTGTTTATTTTATTATTTATTTATTATATTATTATAAAGTATATAGGAGGATGTTCTACTTCCGGGTGGATCATCAAGATTATCGGTCTTCTCAGTCAATCATTCCGGTGATACGTGCGTGATACAAGAGTTCAAAAAGTGGAGATCCTAACCTTAACCCTTTCCTAAAATTTGGGAAAATCCTCCTTTTAATGCTTTTATGTCTGAAATCTATCAAGGATAATAAGGCATCAGTTTTATATTGTGTTTTTCTGGACACTCAAAAAGGAAAGATGGGTTTGATTGCATCTCCAGACAGGGCCTATCTGTGTGGAGTTTGCACCTGTCTCTGCCTGTGTATGTTTCCTCCAGGTGCTCCGGTAATGAGTGAGCAAAGGACGGTGACGATGGGATTGTTTTGGGTCTCCCTTCTGTCCTCACTAACCTTGTAAAGTGCTTTTTCTGGTCTTACTCTGTGAAATGTGCTATTTAAACAGATTACTTCCATTATTCATTCACTCCATACACTCTGGTGGTGAACTACTAGTGTAGCCACAGCTGCCCTGGGACAGATCGACAGCTGCATTTGGCTTGTCCACTTGCGATCTTGTTCAAGTCTTGTCAAAGGCCTTATCTTTCTCATGTCATCCAGTTGTTTTAACTCACGACGAACATAACACATGAAACGAGGCTCACAGCACTGATTAAAACTCAGTCCGGGAGTCGATCTGCATCTCTCCTTTTTGGCGGGAAATTGCTCTGAAGTGTTTGTTATTAAAGATGTCCGGGGAAACTCCAGGAAATAGACTTAATTTCATATAGGGGCACATGACTCAGGGGATGGGAGTCCAACCAATTAACCCTCAGCCTCACTCATTAAAACTCCCCTTTCATGGCCAGAAGCAGCTCATCCGCTAACACGCTACATGAAAGCACAAATTTGTAAATCCAAAACTCTTAAAAGTAATTGGAAAGGTAGATATGAAGGGCCAGTAATGGGGTCACACGCTGCGGTAAAGTGGAGAGCGAGTTATTGGGAGCAGGAAGGCGAAATACTCAAATATATATATATATCTTTACACACGGCGACGACGAGAGAAAGGAGAAAGGGCAATAATATGCACCGGGCGTATTCAGAATGACCCCCTCTGGATTAGCGGCGCTTCACTCCTGGGCACCATATGGCCACTGGCTTTTCGCAACGGTGTCGAGATAGAAAAACATGAATCATTATTTATTTACTTTTGCTAAATGTCAGAATTCGACTGCGCATCTCTGGTGGCAAAAATGTACTTCTAATTAAACACGAAAAAACTTTGAATGCAGCTTTGCCCTTTCATTGTTGTCATATGCTATTTGTATGCTAACCCTAAATACAGTATATATTTTGCAATTTTAGCGTTTGGCGAGAATACTCAAGAATACTCTATATTTCAGGGGTTTTTTTTCCCATATGTCTTTTTGATTGGAATATTTACAACCCGTCATATTGTTTTGACCACACAATCTGTCTCATTGAAAGTCCATTTATGTCGGCACGCAAAAATCATGAATATTAGTCATCCGGTAGCAAGCAAGGTGGAGTAATTACACACGCGCTGTCCTGACTTTTCATTTCACTCTATTTCAAATCACGTCTCCTGGCCTCTGTGCGGCCCGTCTAATGGGTTAATGAGGTGACTGGCTGGTTTCATGCCAACAGAATGTGTGTGTGTGTTGTGTTGTGTTGTGTTGTGTGAGCCACATCCAGAGCCCCAATCTCTATCATCTGCAGCAGAAAAATTACTCAGAGATAAACAGCATTTGACCATTTTCACAGGGATCTAATCTGACGCTGTGTGGCGGGGGACGGGGATAAATCCGTCTGTAAAGCCATGATCACTTGTGTTTGCGACAATCTTACGCCGCCGCTGCGTTCTCGCGAGAAGTGCGCGGCTTGTGTTGTGTTTACATGTGTAGCTCGGGCAGTAAACGGGTTAAACTTGGCTCAGAGAAGCTGCAGTTATGAAACGCAGAGCTGCAGTGTTTATCCGAGAAACGAAGCGTATTTTGAGAGGCCAACATTGTGAACTGACTGTGACATTTTATTTATTACTAATTAGGTCACAATTTGTTCCTATTCTGGTGGATCCAATGCTGTTTCACACTGTAAATTACCTCCACTGTGCCACCACGAGGGCTGTGCCGTCACTATGACAACGACTACTACTTTTCGTCTAATACATTTTTTTATACATCCTTTTTTGTGTTCAACTGTGTCTTTTTTTTATCATTCTTTTTTTTTTTTATTACCAATGCATGTGGAAATACAATATTTTTTTTTATAATTACAACTATAATGATTACCTCAACAAAAACAATATCTTTCAAGAATAGTTGATTATTTTTATTGTTAATGTATTTATTTATTTATTTATATTATGTTTGTATTATTATTTTACTACTATTATTATCATTAGTATTATTTTTATTATTACCAATTTAATACTATTTTATCTCATTATTATTATTATTATTATTCAATCATTTTTAACTTTTTTGTGTATTTTTCTGTATATTTTTTGTATATTTTAATTTAAACTAAGTGTTTGTTTTCTGTGATTTTTCTGCGAGCTGTGCCTGACTGCAGCTGTGGTCTGGCCGGGGTCAGGACGGCAGTGGACCGGGAGTGTATTAGTTACAGGCCGTTGTCGAAGGTGTTTTTATCTCCTCTTCAGCTCCAAGGCAAACAACCTCCGAAATCTGATTATCCTCCATTATAAAGAGCCCTATTTCCACCGGGCGCTTCTCGGCACCGCGTCGTCGGGGCATTTACTGGTCTTTAATGCCGGGAAAGGCCTGCTCTTTTGACAGATAGTAGATATTCGCTGCATTCCCTGTTTGGACACTTCTGTCTTTCGTGACATGGAATAAAAGACGGGCGAGAAAATATCAAGCAACTAAATAATGTCAAAAGATCAGAAATCAATGCGCGGCCGCAACGTGAGCCGCCCCGCTCCGTGCCACCCCCAGCCCCTTTCGCATTACGCCCGTCTCTCTGTGCGGCCGCTGGAGTTGCGAGCGCTCGGGCCCCTTGGAGATGTAACTCAACCGTGAGGAAGCCGCCCGACAATGTTTGGACACGCAGCAAAAAATAGCCTTTTACTTAAAGGTTACGGCCGGGGGTCTATCGGGTTACATGCTCCCGGTGACAGCGGCAGAGTTTGTTAATGCCTGGGTTCGAGTTTCATGTTTTGATGTTGCTGTGATGTGCACGGGCAGGAAATTATCAATGAGGAGCTGAATAAAATGGGACTTTAAATGGAAGTTTGGGTCAGATGTAGCTAAAGGCAGGAGAAGGCTGGATTAGCGATTGATTTGGACAAATGTTTTAGCTTGACAGGAATACAAGCCGAGACGGTATATTCTTTCTTTTGACAGAAAGAGAGTAAAGGCCAGAGGTTTATTTTACTGAATTAAAATGTAAACAATTATTTCTGTGAAACGGTCTTGTATCGTCTTGATTTTTGAAAGTAGTGTGGAATCTTCTGAATGTTTTGACTAAACTGTAGATCACCAGTGGGGTGTCTTCTCGTTTTAAGTCCAAATCTATGGGTTATTCTGGAGGTTAGTGTGGGTTTTCAACTGCTTTGAGAGTTGTGATCTGTTCTAATGAGAAAAAGCCAAGGCAGCTCCACAATGCTTTGTGTCACCCGCTGAGGCAGAGAGATAGACACAGGATTAAGAAAAGAAAGGAGTAGAGAAAGGAAAAAAAATTCTGTCCATTTCTAGGAGATAAATTTAATTTCTTTGCTATTTGGAGGTCCTCTTTGAAAATGCAATTGTAATGAACACATTCAAAACTGGAGAATAGATTTACTCATGGCTTCAAATAAGCCGGCGTTATCGGCCTCTGTCATTCGCTCCTACCCATTTTCGAGCTGCTAATTGATGTTTTTGATGTTGGCGAGAAAATTGAAGAAAATGTCATGTGTGAACCGGCGCGGAAGTTAATAAGATTGACTTCGTTGACTGAATCCACAATGAGCTGAGGAGAGGCGTGTAATGGGAGTGCTGCGAATGGTCCATCTGCTGAGGATGAAATGGACCCTCGTGCGGCGAGGCCCGGGTCCAAAGATACGGAGCCTGGACTGAAGGGACGCCTCGGCCTCAAACATGGGACGGTCCCCCTCCGCCGTGGGGTCTGCGGCTCTGATTGGAGCAGAAACAGCTGCTTCTCCAGCGGCTCCCAGGGCGGCCTCCGTCTTCTGCTCGAACAATGCTCGTTTTTAATGCTGTTTTGACTCTGAAAAGCCAGAGAGCATTAGAAAGGTTAGATTAAGATGAGGCCAAAGATGCACCCAGAACAGTTTGGGTCATTGCATATGTTTGGCCAATGTGAAACAGAGCCTGAACATAAATCTGCTTAAAGAAAAGCTCCGAAGCACCAGCAGCTCGCTCAATCTGGAGCCGTTTATTGAACGCTGGCTTTAAGCCAAGCGCCTTTGTTTTTTTTCTTCTGCTACATATTTTAATAAACGATTAAATATATTTCAAACCTTATTGCAAATGTCTGCATTCACTTAGAGTCAGTTAATGTATAGTCGTAATGGTGTCTGCATTTTTAATTAGCGGGTGGCGGGCTCAGTTTGGTTCACTGCTCCTGATTATTTGGGCCTAAAGCGGCCTACGCTAATGTGGCCGGTGCCCCTGAGCGCTGTTCGTTTGAAGACACCAAAAAAGGTGGCCTCTGCTATCGCTCGGCCTCCAAGGATCGCGGATAAGGGACGCTATTCTGCGAACAGGCAATTAATTCTGTTGGCAACGATCGGCTCGAGCGTCTTCCCCTCCGCCCCTCCAAATGCCCTCCTCACCATCCTCACCATCCTCCACGGCCATTTGAAATGCTAACACAATGAAATATTTTTCTATTGGTCCGTGTCCCTCGGCTAAGCCACCGCCGCGGGCGAAGAATTTCATCGACTGATGAGACCACAGGCGAGCCCGATAAAAAGGTTAACTGTACGTGACACACACTCCAAGTAGCCACGCTACCTTGAACTCTCAAGTTCTGTAACTTTTATTTGACTTTATATTGTTAGCAGGGCCGCTATTGTTTAGCCGCTAAAGGCTAAGGGGAAACACAGCGGCCAGTAGGTGTCGCTCTGAAGTGCGGAGAAGGACCATGTCTGTCTGAGGATGATGTTTGATTAGGATTTTCCAGTAATGGCGTTTTGGCGGCGAGATGTCATTGTCTGCTGATTACTTGACAGCGTTTTCATAAAGAATCAAATGCATTATTTTTCAGATGATAATTCGGCGAGGGTTTCAACCGTGTAATATGCCATTTCCATCTCTGTGATTGAGGCTTTCATTTGTTGTGTTAAAAATGTTTCTTTTTAAGACAGTGGAATTGATGAAAATAACCAAACAAAGTCCAAATGATATTATTATTACGATGCTGTTTTGTTCCTTTCCTTTCATTTCCTTTTATAGCACACAGGCTGTTTCTATTGTGGGCTTTTACAATGGCTGAGCTTTGCTGCGTGCTAGTGTATTTCTCCACCTTCAGGGATAGGCGAGGTAGACTGCCAGAGAGTGGGAGGCGGAAGCCAGGCTGTTTTCAAATAGTTAGTAAAAGATATATGGGCACAGAATAGGTATGGTCCCCCCAACTCAACCCCACCCTGCACACTGGAGCAGTGGGACCAGGCAGGTGGCTCCCCATGGCTGCGGCTTCATGACAACATGCCATTAGAAATAGCAGGCCTGTTGATCAATCCTGCCGACATGACAGCTCCGCCGCCAGGCCCGGCTCTTTGAGTGCTCCCTCTGCCGTTCCTCGGCACTAATTGGTGCAGGTTTCTCTTATATATGCTCGTGGCACAGGGCTTTTTCACTCCTCCTCCTGCTCCTCTCTTCTCCCCTCTTCCCCCCATCCGCCCCCGCCCTATCTCAGCCACCCATTTTATCTCTCCCCTTGCTGTATTTATTTCTATTTTTTGTTTTTCATTTTAACATTGTCACATAGGAAGCCATAACTTTGGGTGAAATATTGCAAGTGAGTTGAGTAAAGGGATGTGTACGCCGCGGGCACTGTTCGTTCTGTATTTTTCTCGGGACGACTACTGGAGCTGGGATTTGACATTGACTCTCGGCAATGTGCATCAGCAGCACATACACAATGGGATCATCCAGAAAGAATGAAATCAGTGTCAGGTGAAATGAAGGAGAGCTGAGCACTTTGTGGAAACCCTCTAATTTGTGCTTAAATGTACATTAGTATTTACACATTTCAAAAACACCCTCCATGTATGCATTCTGTTGCCTTTGTTCATGTTCTCCATCAAACAGAATTAAGTTGCCAAACGTCAAAAGAAGAGTCAGGAAATGGCTGATGTCTTGTCACAGCAGAGAAGGCAGTGTTTGCATCACTCTTAAACCCACCCACTCCGACTCTCTCCCGTGCAGCTAAATAAATGAGGGGAGATAAGCGCACATTAAATGTTTAACTGTCTCCATTTGTCATCTGTTTTAGCCTCTTAATTAAACCAGCGCAGCTTAGCCCCAGCTCTGCTCCGCGCCCAGCGCACACATCGGCCGCTCATGATTAATTTGGCCGTTAATATTTATTTTCTTCCGTGCTGCTAAGTTAGCGGCTTAGTCGAGGGTGAACCTGAGATTTCTGCATGATGCAAACAGGAAAAGATTTATTTTCTGATCCTATTAAAAGTGAGGAGCGGCCTTCAGTCTATTTAGGTGTTGAAAACATTAAGTACTACCTCCACCCAGTGGCACAAAGTGAAAAAAGGCAGCCATGATTGGCAGCACACGGCACTAATGTAGTAGGAAGAGTTGCCTTAAGCGACGGGGGATGTATTCACGACACAATGGTGCCGCTATCGCTCTGCATTGTCTCTCTCATCCCGACCTTATTACATGCCGAATTTGGCATGAAGAATCCCCTTCTTATCTGCACTGAATTTTAATGCCGTGCGCTTAGATGGCCGGCGCATTCTAGTAGTTGTTTTGACATCATATTTCATATTCGGTGTATGTTGGTTTATTATTTCTTGTTGAATCAGAAAGGGGATCTGTCTGCAGTGTTATACACTCAACTTGTTTGTAAAAAGAGTGAGATTGAATATTGTTGTGGCAGCACGGCTGTGGTGCGGCTGTGGTGCTGCTGTGGTGCTGCTGTGGTGCGGCTGTGGTGCTGCTGTGGTGCGGCTGTGGTGCGGCTGTGGAGCACAGGCGCAGAGCGAGGACCCGGACCAGGCGGAACCGGGCGTCTGTGATAGTGCCTCTCCGAACCACAGAGTCTATCAAAGCCGTGTGTTTTATGAGTCTGCTGCGACACTTTGAAGTCCCCGAGTCACCTGCAGCACTCTCTTCATCAAGTTCACTGTGTCTTAATAACAGATCAATACGTTTCAAAGTACAGTTAATTTGAGAGTGTAGCTGATGTGATCACGCTGCAGAGGCTTCTCTCACAGGAGAGACCCGCCGCCGCCGCCTCCACAGACCATTACAGACTTTAGATTTATTAGATCAAGTCATCTTATTATGGAGACATTTCATATTTATAAATATTTTAATTAAGATTTTTAATGTAATATATTTTATTCAAAATACCACATAAAAAAACTAAATGATTGATGTTACTATTATGAGATATAAATGCAGAAATTAAATACTTTTTAAATTATTTATGTATATTTAAAATGTGAAGTATAAATTAATATAAAGGCAATAGGTTTCTGTAAATCTTGAATCTTATACAATTTTGTTATAAATGTTAAATGTAATATATATAGTTCCTTGTCTTGTTTCTTGTATTTTTTCTGCAAAAACTAAATGATAAATATTAGTTTGGCTCATGCGGAGAGCGGCGGCGGCGGCGGCGGTTTTTGTACTTTAGATTTAAAGTATTTTCTTATGGCTTTAGTTTCTAAAAGTGTGTGAGCGGACGGCAGCTCGGCGACTGCGGAGAGCGTCAGGAACAAAAGCCCAGTTTAAAGTGCTCATCTGAGGGGAGCTAATGGTGTTAGGGCGCGGGCCGAGGAGCTGCTCCCGCGGTGTCGCACATTCACACACGGCTGACCACACAAATCCCCTTCACTTTGTTTGTATTTATCCTTCTGTGAAAAGTGCATGAGAAAATGAGCTTTAAAGTGCCAGCGAAAGACTGTTTTCTTGATGTTTCAGTCGGAACCGCTACCCGCCATTTGATCAGAAAACTCTCAAAGAGGGAGAACAGATTTGTCTTAAATAATCTGGAATAATGCTTTCTGTTGAAAAGAATGTGTAAGAGTGTGTGATGTTGAGGGAACGCAGAGAAAAGCAAACGCGTGTCATCTGCTTAATTTTTAAAGACAGGTGCAGGTAGGGTTGTCTGGTTGTGGCAAATATTTTGTGTGTCAAACGCTGCGTATGAAGCGTTCAGAGTTGTTTTGTTGAGAGAATAAGTGGTGTGTGACAGATGAGAGGCGCTGAGGAGCCGGCGTCTTGTGGAGCTCTTCCCGGCGTCAGGCTGTGTGTGTGGGCTGTGTCCTGGGCTCCGCTGGGCTCCTGGCTCTCCTGGCTCTCCTGGCTCTCCTGGCTCTCCTGGCTCTCCTGGCTCTCCTGGCTCTCCTCGCTCTCCTCGCTCTCCTCGCTCTCCTCGCACTGCGCTGGAGGTCCACGTTTTAATCAATGTTTCATGTTAAATTTAGTGCCAGCGCCTCTCACGGCTCTGCTCCCACATCTTAGTCTCTGCGCGCTGAGAAAGGTGAAAATCCTCATCTCTATAAAAGAAAAGGGAAGGATTCTGTAATATTTCTAAAGAAGGATTCTCTTTGATTTCTGAGATTGTGGCTAATTTTGTCCAAATGAGCTGGAATATATATTTTTCCGTTCTTTAAAAACGGTTAAAATTACAAGTATATTATTTGAAATTCCTTTTTTCCTTGAGGTTCCCGCTGTTAATGCACCATGAAACCCTGCTTCGTTAAAAGTGTATTAATCTTGTCGTCTCATGGGAGGGACTTTAAGATGATGTTGTGTCTTTTTCTTTAAATTGTTGGAGGAAAAAAAAAATCTTCCAGATTTGGTCCCTGTCAGTCAGAAATAATTGTGTGCTTAATCTTGTCCCTGATGGATGACTTGGAGTTCAGCAATGGGCCAGCTCCAATGACAAATACAATATTAATATTCATTAACTGCTTTGACAATGCTAATTTTGATGCAGTAGTAAAGGGCCTTCCAAAGTTAGCGGCCAAAGCATCAGAGCTGAGCAAGGTGGCAAGATAATTTGTGCTGCTTTGCTGAGCTGAAGGCTTTTTAAGTCTTAAGCAGGGGAAAAAAGGCTAGGTACCACAAACAAAATAAAAGAGAAAGGGAAAAAGTTCAGACGCATTGGAAACCAGCTCTGTGGAAGTAATACGATCAGAAGACGGCTACACAAATCTGACACCGCCAATGCTGCATCTTTGAGCAACATTTTTTTTTTTTTTAAACAAAAACTTACAACAAAAAGGAGCACAACATGGTAAGTCAGCATTCTTGATTTTTTTGTTTAATCTTTTTGATCATTTCAATTATCGCCATTTGAAGATCAATAGTCATTTTTTTCTGCTGTGGTTAAAAGGCTCACAGCGGTGGTTTAGTGGATGCTCGGATCACGGCTTTAAGAGTGGGCTTCCTCTCTTCAAGCCACAGTTGGCCGGTGTGAATTTTCTATTGCCAGCTCCCATGAAAACCTCACAGCGCTTCTATCATTTATTGCTATTTTTGCGATTGTTTTAACTTATCTGCTTGTTGGTTCGTAAATGTCTGGCAGGTCTTACTTCTGAGTTGCTTGTTGCCTTTTCAATGGAGAGAGTTGAGGCTTGAAAGTTGAATTTGGAAAGAGTCGTTACGCTGCCAGGACAGGTTTTTCCCGCAGATACATATATTTTCCCTTTTTTTTTTTTGTCTCTTCCTGGATTTGATTTTTCCGAGCATCAAAAAAAAAAAAAATCCACTGGTGATTCACAGAACCTCGGAGAAATCCTGGCCAAAACTGAAGCGCCTTTTTCTGGGCTTTTTCCTCTTCCCTTGCTCCCTGACAGCTTTTTTGTGTTTTTGTTTTTGTATTTAATTTAGTGTGACTCGCACTTGAATGGAGCGTAGCTAAGTTTCGGGGGGATTAATGACACGGAGAGCGACGACCCGCTGCGTTGAGATTTTTCAGCCAAGTTAGAAGAAGCAGAAGAAGGAGAAGGAGAAGGGGCAACTCTTAAAAACGCCGCGCTCCGCAATACCTTTATGTCCCGCGAATGAAAGCCCCGGCGCGCTCTCTCCCCTCGCGCCTTCAACTTATCAAAAGAAAAAGACATGGACACAAAAGGGCTGGTAGCAGGGGTGCAGAGGGGGAACCGTCTAGCAGGGAACGGAGCAGCGGAGGCAAAACACACTCGGCTCTGGACGCATTCGGGACGCAGGGTGAAAGAAACGCAGGTCTAAGAGGGTCCAGTAATGCGCGGGCCGGTGGCTGGTTATCCGCCGATCCCACCGTCCGCTTTGCACGCTGCGGTGAGAAGGAAGTGCTGCCCCCCAGTGGAATAGTTGCTGACATGGTGGTGGGAGTCTGCTTGAAGTCTGTGCACTGCCGAGAGTGCCAGCATGCTTGTTTTAACCAGGAACCGAGCAGCATCCCTAATACACAGCTCTTTTAAATGGTAAGACTTTTCATCACTTGGAATTTGCTTGGTTTTAATTGTACGCTGTGTGTTTTTATTATTGAAATATTTCTGCTTTTATTTGTGGATTTTTGTGTGTGCTTCCACCGCTGCATTTGGCAATTTATAACACTTATGTGGCTAAGTGACACATTGACAATTTGGATAATGAAAGAGGCTGTTTGATTGCTTTGTCCTGACAGCCTGACAGGGCTCCATTATGGGGAGGCGTGCGGCTCAGCGCAGGCACTTTTTATTGACACTAAAAATCACTTACTTACACAAGTTTATTTGTAAATTGAAGATTTTTATTCAGAAGGAATTTAGAAATAGTAAAAGTCTGATTTGCATCTAAATATGAGGCAGGGAAAAAGCTTATCAAACATCTGCTTTTCTCTTTTCTTTTATTAAATGCACTTTCATTATTCAATTTTTGTATATTTATGCTTTAATATGTGAAGTGTTTTTTTATTATTTTAGTTTCAATATTGCAACTTAACTTTGTTTACACTTTTGTTTATATATATATATATATAGATATTTTTTGAAACCATACTTTGTTGAATTCTTTTTTGGGGTCGTGCATATTTTTTTGCCCTCTCTTTTGCCGGTGTGTCGTGGAGGCTTTTGTGGCGCTGGTGATGAGGAGCTGTCCGTCAGGCGCGGGGCCCTTGCCGTTTAGTGGTCCCAGGACAAAAGGTGGCAGGAGCGTGGCGAAGCGGCTCAATGGAGGGAGGGCAACCAATTAGTCGCCGCCTTGTCCCGAACCGCAGCCGCTATTGTCCCAAACTGTGTAAAGCTCATTCCCCGCGCTTTTGTTTTGCTCCCAGGGCCTCAGGATCCGCAGGCCGCCGCCGCCGCCGCCGCCGTCACCGCTGCTGCTGCCGCTCGCGCTGCAGTAAATTACCCAGAATGTATAATCCATCATTTTTTTGTGCAAATATGCTTTACGCCTAATTACTTCCCATTATTGTCTGACGCCACTAAACCAATCAGATTTTACACACAGAAAACACATGTTACTGCGCTGAGGTGCGAGTAATTTATTCCATCAATATTTTATCGGCCGTGGTCATTAGTCAGGTTTAGGTAGTTAGAGGTTATGAGAGATAATCTGAGAATGACAAGTCCAGTTAATTAGAAGATGTGACAAATCCAAGAGCCGAGCCACTGCGGGAAAAGTGACAGGATGTTTATTGGAGATGATTCCGAGTCAGTTTTAATGAGTCAAGAAAATTATACTCAATTAAATTAGGATGTATTAATAATGTCGTTTTTTTGCTGCTTATTATTTTCTTAAACATGTCAAATCCAACCTCATTTCCTGAGATAAACGTGTGGGCTTTTTAAGGTTTTTTTTTGGCTGTGTTGAAAATATCTAAGTGTTGGAGCCAAATTCAGAGTTGTTGTTTGTGTGCGTGCTTGTGTGTACAAAACCTGCCTCTTAAAAGTCAAATCACAAGAGTCTCAAGGAATTCACCTCCATCTTTTGTATGAAAAAAAAATCGTGGCCAGGAGATGTGTGGAATTTGCTTTTGGTCTTTTATCTAAAAAAGAGGAAGTGTTGACCACGTGAATGCGAGCGTTTGACTTTCTGACAAAGGCGAGACTTGAAGAGCGGCGAGTCCAGGGAGGAGGGAGCTGCTCTAGGCCTTGTTCACATGAACCGTGAATGGAGGAGTGTGTAGGATCCTTCTGCGAGCTATTGTTTAGAAAGAGCACACAAAAAACTCTAAAGGATGGCGACGAGAGGTGCCACGTCCATGTCAGAGCGAGACTCTCTCCCCCCGGAACAAAAAGTGTGTGTGAGGAGCCGACTGTCACTGACTGTTGGCCACACTTTGCCGCGCCTGCCCTCCCTTTGTGGATGTTGTTGTGTCTTGTTCCTTTTTTCCCGTTTTCTCCAGCAGATCTCTCTCTCCCTCTCCATGCTGCTCTCTCCTCTTTGTCTCCTTTACCTTGTAGCCAAAGCTTTTCAAGCTGCCAGTACTTCTGTGGGCATCCTGGAGGCACAGCAGAGCCCACACACACACACACACACACACACACACACACACACTGCACACACACACACACACTTAAGAAAGGCATACTCAGCCCGACGTACAGCTGGGATTTGGGTAATATCTCACCTCTTTTTCTGTCTGTTTGTGAGTAGCATATATTTTTTTCTGCAGTATTGCTAGTGGGAAGCAGTACTGAGAAGGCGGCAGACTCCAATAATTTTTCCTTCTGCCCGGCGCATCCTTCTTGTGTACGTCTTGTCACAACCGGCTTCACAACTTTTGACTAGAGCAGAGAAGCGGAAGATATAGCTGCCCTCCACCGAGCAGGATTTTTATTTGTTTTTTTTTTAACAATGGGTAGGAGGGGAGCGCAGGAACTGTTGTAGTAGCGACTGCATGAGGATCTACTGCTGCTGCTGCCACTAGGCCTCAACCCAGAGTTCAAGGGGGCAATGGCGGCTCAACAGGGCTGAACACATGCCCACGGAGGGAACTACAGGACACAAACTTACTGCTTTTTGAGGAGGGGTCATGTATCCGCGGGACAGTGCCTCGGCCGGGACGGAGGAGCAGCTGCAGGGGGAGGAGGAGGTGCTGGAGGAGGTGTTGGAGGAGAGCGAGGGGGCCAAAGCAGCACTGGGGATGGGCCCCGGGCTGTCACTGCTGCAGCAGGTGGGATGCTGGCACCTCAACCTGAGCAGCTGGGTGAGTACAGCACTGGGCAGGACACATGTGCACAAGGCCTAGTGGGAAGAATCACAAAGAAATGCTGTGGTCATGCATGGCTCACACACACATTGATTAATTCATGGCATATTTCAAAAGTTATTATTCGTATTGGAAGAGTTCAGTTCAAAGAGTTGTTGTTTGGAGAATCTACATTTTCGATACGGCCTATTTATGTATTATTTGCGATTTTAGCTGGGATGTGTTGAAAAAAGAAAAGTTTGAAGCGGTACAGAAGTTGGATCACTTTGAATTGAGTTTGTAATCTATAACCCGCTGATGCCAGTGAACTTGACCTGTGTTTTCTGCTTAAGGACACTCCTTCAGAAGTTGCATGCAGCTCGGAATTTGTTTCGTTAATTTAAAATATGCATTTGCTGGCTCACTTTGTAGTCTGTATTTGTACTTCAGTCCTCATGGCCTCAGCTCATCTCCGCCGTTGTTAAGTCTGACAGTATTATGTAAGGTAAATGTGTCTACAATGAAGATTTTTGCTCTCCAGTCTAATTGGAATCTTTGAAATCTCTCAAAAGATGCCACTAAATTAAGTTTCGAAAGGGGCATTTTCTCTCTCGAGGTGATATTTTTGTTATTAGTCCCGTATTTGATCAGGACTCATGCAAAACCATGACATGTTAAATAAGATTTTCAATAACCTTGCACATTAACATATCCCTTTGTAAATGTCGCCACCCAATTCAAATTCTTAATTGCCTTGGCTTTCAACTGAAATTGTGAGGAGCTGATTGCATTTCAAAAGGCAGGATTCACGCCGCCTCTTAACACCGCGATACAATATCACCTCTCAGAAAAATCCCCTTTAACTCAGGTATGAGCGTTCAAGAGGCTGTTTACTCTGAAAAGACCGAAAGGCGAAAGGAGGGGGGGGGGACAAGACTTCAACTGGCTGCGAAAATCTGACGAGTCCATTTACAGAATACAACAGCCCTCACCAAACACCACTTCATATTTAAGCTATTTGTGCGCACTTTTATTTAGCCCTGACATGTCCTTTCTGCCATTCCATTTGATGTGCCGACTATCAAACGACGGAAGCTGAAAATAAGTGGTGATGGAACGACTTGAGCGGCGAGATGGAGGAAGGGGAGGCAAAGGCTCTGGCCCACATAATATTTTTGTTCAACGCTCTGATCAAGCAGGCGGCGTGTCACTGCAGCAAAGTGAATAGATTAACTTTTAAATATAGCAGGGTCTCGGGAGCCCCCCAGCGCCCTCCGAGAGGCGTCTAAACTGATCAACACCCCCGGATCTGCTCCCACCATCCCTCCTTCTCCTGCTTCTCTACAATCCCCAGGTTCTCCATATACTGTGGTTCTTTCTTCTTCATTAACCCAAGAAATACTTATAACTCGCCTGGGCTTTAATCAGTGGGGTTGGATAAGGATTGTATTTGTTGGATGGAGTTCTTCCCGGCTCAGATTATCTGCTTGGATGTGATTTGTTGTTGTTTCTTGTTTGGGTCTTTGGAGGTTGAAGTGGACTATAGGCCTGAGGGGGGGGGGGGGGGGGGAGGGGGGGCAGTCTGCATCTGGAGTCAGCATGAGATTACATATAGCGTGGCATTGATTCAACTTTTTAACTTGAAATTATTGTGAGAAACGCCCCTATATCGTACGATTCTTCACATTTTTTGACAGCTTAAACTTAGAATACTTCACTTTCAACCCACAAACTAATTTAACTATGTCGTCAAATCCATGTATCTAGAGTCTTTCTCGAAAACAGCTTGGTTCTATCACGTCTGGCCTCTGTCACATCTTCAGGTCAGCTCTTTTTAGGCCAAAAAGTGAGAATAGATGACCCCGCTCACTCAGCCAATCAGCTCTCACTGGGTTCTTTCATAGTATTCATAAGATAAGATGTTTTCTATAAAGAAGACAGCAGTTACCCCAGTTTCAGTTGGATAAAGTAAAAACTCTTATCTATATGACATTTGTTTACATTGTGTGAAACTTTCAGATCCAACTTTGTGAATGATACAAACAGACAGGTAGAATAAGAAGAGTAAGAAGAGTGTATTGAACTGAAATGATTGAATATTGCTGTTAATCTAGTCCCAGATGTTTCTTCTTATGCTTTAATAACGGGCCTGGATAATCACAATCAAACAAATCATCTTGACAAACTTGAATCCATTCTCTCTCCCCATATTTTTATCGCTTCACTCCGCTGCAGTCAAATGCAAAAGGCCCGTCCGCTGTAGCTTCGTGCCTTTGGACTCCCGCCACGCGCCCGGCGAAGGGAGCGGCCCTGGCTGCGTTTTCTGCTTCGCTTTGGAATTCTGCGAGCTGCGAGGAGCCCAATCCATCACTCCTCTGTCACATCCCCTGCTCCGTGTGTGCGCTTCCTCCTCCTCCTCCTCCTCCTCCTCCTCCTCTTCCTCCTCCCGCTCTCTTTCCTCCCCGCTCCGGCCTTCAGTGCGGCTCATTAGCACCCGGCGAGCTGCTGTGACAACTCATCATATCACGACATAAAGCAGAGAGCAGTCCGAACAACCCCCCGCACCCCCCAACACCCTCAGAGGCCTGCGGGGTCAGCACCTTCACATTTAGGCCTCAAATTGGCCCTGCGAGGTGCCACGGAGCGGAAATGTGTGGCCAACAGCTTTTTCCTGTCCGCGCTCTCTCTTTGGAGCCCCCTCCCCTGGTTCTTTGTGCAGCTCTGTCCTGCTGTCACCGTGGTCGTAGCCCCTCCCTCCGGAGAGGTCCGAACTGTGGGCGACTAAAGCGGCTTAGGCACTTGTCCGAATGCTCCGAGGGCTGTTTTAGGGAGAGTAAAGAGAGAGACAGTAGACTCGGCTGGATTTTGCAACAGTTGTCCCAAAGATACTGTGTGTACGGTGTAGTTTTTTTGGCAGAGATGTGAGCTCAGATAAGAGTAAGGAAGTACGTTACAATCTTCAGGTTCTGGTGATTTAGAGCAATACAAGAATACACTGAATTGCATTGAACTTTCAGATTTTTTTTTTTATTGCCATTGTAAGTAACAGGAAGTCGCAAACTAAGAATTTTCTTTGGTGTATGGTGCAAACAAAAGTCAAAAAAATAGACATGAATGAAAGTTTTAATACACACAATAGACATTTAACAGATGTTTATTGACAAAGCTACAGTTGTTGGGAGTATTTCTCCTAGAACCTTGATGCATCCCACAGCGGGGAAATGTCAGGGTTGCAGCACACATACAGAACAGTAGAAGAAGAAGGAGCACTCAAAACAAGATGAATAGGATAAAAACTGTGAATATTCAAAAATAGGCCAAATCTTTCAGCTTAGAAATAGCTTAAAACTGTCATTGTTCTTAAAGGTTTAGCTATACAGGTAACAATGTAGTGATAATTTGGAAGTGATTGCTGTAAACCTGTCCATGGGTTTCAAAATGATAAGAAAAATGAAGATTAAGAGACCCTTTATTGGTCCCACAGGGGGGACATTTAATGATAATAATAAAAGTTACAGAACAGTAGGAATGAGGAGCACAGAGCACAACATAAGTGAATAATACTGTTATTTTTACCCCAATAAATTATGTCCATTGCTATAGTGATTAGCAAAACAATATTATCACTTTTAAATGGGAAAAGGTCATACACTGCTGCAGGAGGCTAACCCAATGATTGTCTTTCTCTCTAAACTTGCAGAAAAAACATGTCATCGTCAGATCACCTCAACCACGTCCGATCAGATCTGCGATAATCACGCTTACGTAATCAACTAAGGCTTCAGTAATTCCTCTGCTGCATAATTTACCTCCTTCTTCTCACCTTGTTTACCTTTTAGCGTGTCAGGGTGAAAAGTGCTGACAAACGAGCGGTGGCATTATCAATAAACAGCCTCCTGCGTTTTATTCTTTGCCTCCACTCCACATCACAACACCGGCCCCAGCAGCGACCTCCCCATGTGTCCTGCGTTAAATCAGGTTCCAATTTGACTTTCTGTTATTTGTGGTTTTTTGTATTTGTTTTATTGAGCCTCGTCTGGACTTCAGAGGCCGCGTCGCCGCTTGTTGTTTTATGTGCAGTGGTGTAATGATGGAGGTGTTGGGAGAGAGAGGCTGAGCCAGCGGGAGGGTCAGGCCAGGATATGGGCTTTCTTGTCCCCTCGCTTTTGTGTGGGTGAAAGGGGGCGCACTGGAGCCCACCCACGTTGACTGGTTGTGTTGTTTTCTGTGGGCACGGGTGAAGTCGGAGCAGAGGGCGGTCAGCCGGTCAGTCCTGTCCGTCTAACAATAGCGTTCGCCTGCTGTGGACGCGACGACACCTGCTTGTACTTCCTGATCATGTACTCTGTTGTCTACACCAGGGCCACACAGGAGTTGAGTTTTAATCATTTTCAAGTTCAATAGACATCAAACATTAATTATCAAAAGTCACTGCGTAGAATGGAATGCTCAGAAATGGATTAAGGGGAAGAAATTGGATGGATTGACTATTATTGTACATTAATCAAACAAAAAAATGAGCCTGTGTACTATGGAGGTACATGTTGTAGGGTTTCCGATTCAATTAAGAATACAATTTGACTTTTCAATGATTTTTCTGTAGAGCCACTCGACTGTCTACTTTATATATTGTTACCATTGATCAGCAAAGACATATAATTAAAACAGTGAGATGATTAAGCTGTGGCATGTTGTGCACACCTACAGTATGACCACTTCTTTACATGTAATTCTTATACACAGTGGAATATTGTCAGCAAACCGAGGCCGAATGTGCATTTTCAGAACTTATGTCTCATTGCTCAGCTGAGTTTGTACATTCTGAATAGAAACGCCGGCTGCGATGGCCCTATAGCCTGTTGCTACTGGCCTGGGTCTGGCCTCCACGCAACTCGGACTGAATCTGACAATGATGTAAGCGCATTGGCTTCTGGCTGCCTCCCCTCTGTCCCTTTAGCCCTTTTTAACACCCTCCATCTAAATGTGCACTCACTCGAGGGGCATTTTGAACTGCCTTCTGAATGGCCTGGGCACACCGGACAAAAGGCTTTATTTAAATGACTACTGCAGGCTTTTCAGCGGCCAAAAGACTGACAGAGAATTGACGACATTCTTTCACATCATTACTCAAGGGAGGAATGGGATAACGGGTTAGAAGGTGAAGATAGGCCAGGAGATAAGGTTACATGGCGTAGCCGCTTAAACCAGAACGTTGTTTTCTTTATGCAAACGTTATTTTTGCACATCAGGAGAATGGCATCTTGGTTTCTTCTTTACCAATCCTATTCCAACCCCCCTTTTGCCTCCACGCAATGCACGCTCTCTCTTTCCTCTGCCTTTTCTGCTCAGGGCTGTGAATGGGTCCCAAGAGTCCCGGTGCCTCCCTGGAGTTCTGCTGGGGTTCATTAATCTTTCATTGGGACCATGGCAATAGGGAATGCCCCCCACTCCCCTCCCTTACACCACCCCCTCGCTCTTCTCCACTCTTCTCCTCCTGCTCCATGCAACCTTCAGGAGAATAGAGTCTACTGCATGGGCCCGCTTCAGCCCAAAGAGCTCACAGTCTTGAATGGAGATTGGGAGTATTAGGCTCTCTAACGGGCCTCGTATTAAGTAAATCATTATGTCTCTAGTTCGGCCCACGTTTGTCTAAAAGTCGCCCTTGGCTTGCTAGTTTTGCATTTGTATTGTCAATGAGCATCACATAAACCAGGCCCCCCGCTCCTCCCCTGCCAACATCTAGTCTTATTAGTGTTTTTCAAAGTCTGGTGCCACAGCGGAGCATTTTTTCCTCCCATTTCTTCGCATGGGTTCGAGTCGCTAATGAGGATGTGTGGCCTCTGAAAGCGTCATGTTATGATAAGCCTGATTAGTGCTGCTTCTTTGACTGCTAAGGGCCAGGATAAGGAGCTTCTGCAGCCACTAGCCTAGCTCTAATCTGGTTATCTTGTATTTGGAAGGGAGGGGTCTCTTGTGTGTGTGTATTCTGTCCCGGGTTGGTTTTTTGGAGGGCCCAAAGGCAAGCTCCACTGTAATCTTTGAGGTAATTGAAAAAAAAAAAAAAAGAGAAGGGTCTGCGTGTGCCACTTAGTAGCACAAAAAGAAGATTACATAGCTAAAACTAATTTGGCAAAAAATGCAGACATGGATTTTTAGCTCCACCTCCTACTCTTGCACACCCTTTTATTACAATAACCCACCATGAACCGAGGGCCCCCGGGGGAGCGACGCAGGAGGAAGACCGGCGGAGAGAGCTGGAGCTACTAATGACTGCAGATTTACATGCGCTGGCTTGATTTGTGTGGTTTACAGATGATCGATTACTTGCTGAAAGAGAGTGCTTCATCTCACTTCGGGCCTAAATGCGAACTGGCAAACACCCCCAGAGCCCCTTAGATTGCATTACAGAATTCCACCGTGACACCACAAGTCGTGTTTTTAATTACAAACCGCACTATTTTTGTGGCGGCTTCGTGGTTTGGCGCCTCTCGGGGAAGAGGGGGAATTTGAGCAGGTCCTCTCTCTCTTTCTCTTTCTCTTTCTCTCGTGGTGTCTGCGGCCTCTCGAACTGGTCCTGGTCTGCGGTGTTATTAACGTGCCGGTGTCTTTCTCTTTTGTCTCTGTTGCAGTCGAATAAAGTTCCAGTGGTCCAGCACCCTCACCACGTGCACCCCCTCACGCCGCTGATCACCTACAGCAATGAGCACTTCACGCCAGGCAACCCCCCCCCTCACCTACAGACAGACGTGGACCCCAAAACAGGTAGGCAGCCTGTCTCTGCTCAATGTAAGGCTTTTCATTTTGTTGTTGCCAGTGATTTCAATGTAGTAGTAGTAGTGGTAGTATAACTAAAGTATCTATCATTCAACACAACCCACACAATCAGCCCATGTACAGTGAAAATGGTTGGGTTTCGAGAGATACAAGTTCTAACCGATGTTGTCATAATGCTAGAATTACAAACTCAAGTCCAAAACGATGGAAAAGACCAATTTCAATACCACATTTTCTCCCACAATGAGCTGCAAAACCACAATACAGTCATTTTCAATGGTAGACGATATAATAGACTTGTTCTAAGATCGAAATCCTTCAAAAACTGCTGAGCACATCTCACATAATGTCGCTTTTATGTGATTTATCTCATTCTCAAAACCTTCTCACATGCGTTTTAGTTCCAATACCAGTTTCAGCACGGACAAATATATGATTTTCAACACTTTCAACAATCCTATAGTTCTAACCATAGATTGCATCGTATAATCTGACATTGAATACCTGTAGATTGAAGAATAACAGCCAATAAATGAAGCCTTAAGTTTATATCGTTGGTCTTGGAATCGAACAAAATGGTTCAATAATTTTTGAATAGATTAAGAGTATGTAAGTAAGCACCTTTCACAGACCAGTCACAAAGCACTTTACAACTGCTGTGGTCTTTCTCTGCGATATAATAAGAATAATAACTGGTTAAGTATGTGTGCAAACTGATATAATACCGTTTTTTTCGCCACTGTCTCACATTGAATAACGGTCTGCATTCTGACAGAACGATTAATTGATAAAAACCCCCATGAACACATGTATTCAGGTGCATTTAAGGCGCTAATTCCAATGCCTCTGCTTCATCTCCCTGGTGGGTTTGACGTGTTTTAGGTAATAATGTTGCTCTATTATGATGGCCCGTACAAAGGGGGAACAAAGTGGCAGCTGCTGTTTAATGTAGTGCTTAATGGGGGCTGCTTAATTGGGCTCAGTATTTAATTAATTAATGAGCTGTATTAGGTCTTGTGCGATGGGATAATGTTGGCTTTTAATACACTTTCCTTTGTTCTTGGATAAGTCGGAGTTTGCGATAGACCTTAAATCAGATGGGGACCGGAAAAATGAAAGTTTAAAGGCATCAGCTAGTTTCACGCTCCAGTGAGTAGAGAGGGAAAAGTTTAAACAGGGGAAAAACGACCCGATTATATAACGATTATAACTACTACAAGCACTGCTAATGCTGCTTACTAGTTATAATTAAGAACTCATTTACATCTAGGCATATAGAAGCGGAGAGGGGGTGGATCCTGCTGTAGATTCTTATGCAATGACCTAACGCAGAGGTGTCAAACTCATTTTGATTTGGGGCCAAAAGTATAAAGGTGATTTACTATTTATTTATTTTTTACATATTTTTGTATTTTTAACAAACTAATTTTATTTGACATAGGGTTATTAGGGAGGTTATTATTTTCGAGTAGGTTTGGACTCAATCAAAACTGGGCCAAATATCAAAATGGAATATTCATAGTTAAATATAGAACTAAATCTTTGGTCAAACATAAATTTTTTAGAACATATTCAATTATATGGTTGATTTACTGAGAGAAAAAAAAGCTTTATAATGCAGTATAACATGCCATTGAAGCCCATTACCATCAATGCAGCAAGTTACTGTGATAAAGATAATTGAAAATCATTATAGGGGCCACTACACATGGTCTCGCGGGCCGGATTTGGCTCCCAGGCCTGAGTTTGACCTGCCTGCTTTAATGCATTGAGACATAGTTCTGCGTTTACTTTATTTTAAACCCGCAAAACTCCACTTCCTGCATCGATTCCTTCTGAAATCTCTTTACAATCACTTACTTCACCAGAGCTACCGTGGCACAGAACGGACCAGAACGTCTCGATACCAACACACTCTCCCGCTGCACTGCTTTGCCTCATATTCCTGCTCCCGAGTTTGTCACGGAGGAAAAAGAAAGATATTTTTAGTTACACATAGAGCATTTCAAACCATGTATTCAGGGGACGTCTTTCTGGTGCCGGTTCTGCGCCTGTCAGCTGCCACCGAAAGTAAAGGCAACATGGTGGACGCTGTGATTGTTTGGCGCTGTCCTCAAATTGGACATCTCTGTCACTATTTACCTGTGGGGGATGAGCTGGAGCCACGGCTGCTGGTTCGGCACCACCAATGAGATGATAATGGAGTGTCAATAGCGATAATGGGAGGGACTTTAGAATGAGATGGGACTGGCAGGTGGTGTATATAGGTGCCATTTAAGTTTGAGACGCATTGAGGCAGAGCGGCTCTATATGCAGCAGCTTTACCCTTATTACGGTAAGAACAGTTGTTTGGGCAAAATCTTCTTCAAAGCTGTTAGTGAAAGGTGTCAACAGACCAAAAGGAGTTTTTTGTTTTGTCTTGGGCTTTGTAGTGGAATGGTGTTTTTCTCTATTGTCAATGTCGGGTGTTATCCCATTCCAACAACAAAAGCATTGATTCAAACAAGTGAAAATACTCCAAACAAAAATTGTATTTCCACATAGGACAAATATTTATAGTTTTACACAATACGCTTAAAGTTTAGTCTTCACCTCAGCCACTTTTTCACTTTAAAAATGTGTTTACAACCACAGGGCAGGGCAGTCCAGGGAAAAAACAACCAACAACATACATGAAAAACTGCTTCTGAAACCTAAAATATACCTTTTTATTTGTTTAGTTAAAATAATGATAATTATAATAACACATCGGTTTTATACAGAGCAACACTCATATTTGCTTCATGTTTTATTCTCTCTTTCCATACACTGTGGTGATAAACTACTACTATAGCCACAGCTGCCCTGGGGCACACTGACAGAGGAGAGGGAACCAGCCTGTGCCATCAGCCCCTCCCACCACCACCAACCATTCACACACACACACACACACACACACACACACACACACACACACACACACCAGACTCTCTCTAGACCATGTGGGTGAAGTGTCTTGCCTAAGAACACAACAACAGTTTGGCACTTTACAGCCGCAGCCGCCCCACTGTCACACTGTGGTCTTTCCAGAGGTCTCCCATCACAGTACTAGCCATGCCCTGCCCTCCTCAGCTTCAGGCTTTCACACCCAGGTCACACCCCAACAACAAACACAGGTTCAGGCCCCTCAGCAAAGATAAGATAGACTTTATTGACCTTACAAACACTATGTACAATTACCTGCTTTGTATTATCCAATTCATTCATTATTCTAGTTTCAAATGTGGCCGTATAAGAAAAGCATTGGTGTTTTTCCCGCCTTCAACTCTCGCTCCACACGCCTGTCTGCCTTTGATCAGACGTGTGACTTGTGTACACGCCGGCCTCCTCCTCTGATGTCTCGCGTGTCCAGTGCTGACAAAGATTTGCTTCTTTTTTTCCCCCTCTGTCATCACCCTGTCCGTCCACCTCCTCTCTCTCCGCTCTGACGCCCGTTTCACAGGGATCCCGAGGCCTCCACATCCTCCAGATATATCTCCTTATTACCCGCTGTCTCCCGGCACTGTCGGCCAAATCCCCCATCCGCTGGGCTGGTTAGTACCACAGTAAGCAAACCCTTTTATTACTCTTTTTGTGAATGAACGGTGATGGAGTCGCAGTGTGCTTACTGTCAATCGTTTGGGATTCTAGCCACTGCTGCTTTGATGCATAGAAACATTTTAAAAGCTCTGTCAAGTTTCAGTTTTTCACTTAAATTCACTAATGAGTTTCAGGACCAAGTTTCTAAGTGTCTCAATTTATTTAGTTTTTATATGAAGGGACAATGTACAGAGACATTAAGCTCAGAGACAGATATGTTATGCACCAGATTATAGCTAAACAGCTGGTTTCCATCTGCAGTCCCTGGTTGCATAAATAAAATACATGGATACAGTAATGTCCAATCCAATAGAAATACCATCGCGATACAACTCTCTGCGGGTGCTTCATATTCTACAGTCTTTAAAATCCAGATTCAACTCAAACCACAGAAATACAATACGTTTTCACATAGTTCTAACATCAGTCTTTTTAATCATATTCGCTCTTCCCTCTTCTGAAACCAGCTCAGAATAAGCATTAGGAGTTTATTATTCTCTATTTTAAACATACATGGCTTTGGGTTAGCACAGTGTTGGTATTATTCTAATAATAGCAGCTGCATCAATGACTAGGAATGGTTCTAATACATGAGCTTAGTATAGCTATTTACTTAGAACATTTATTCACTTTAACTGGACCAAGTCTGGTTCACTCTAACTGGACCAAGTCTGGTTCACTTTGGGCAAAAATGCATCACCGATCTGTGGTTCAAAACATGTACATTGACTTAAGTGACTTCTGGACACATTGTTTGGTGATTTTACATCCACAAATGCAGACTTTTTGATGCAGATGTGCGTGAAAAACGTCTCATGGCGGCATAATTGTAGCTAAACCAGACCGTAAAAAACCAGGCAAATCAGTTTTCCAAGCTAATGTTTAAATGTGTACACAAACTGAAAACTGTGAGACGCCAGCTCTCGACTTGGAATAGAAGTGGATCACGTTGTCTATTGCTTTAAACCGAGCAGCAAGGTGCCTTTAGCTCGTGTGAAAGTCCTGCTCTGTCTCTGCTCTGTCTCTGCTCTGTCTCTGCTCTGTCTCTGCTCTGTCTCTGCTCTGTCTCTGCTCTGTCTCTGCTCTGTCTCTCTGCTCTGTCTCTCTGCTCTGTCTCTGCTCTGTCTCTGCTCTGTCTGCTCTGTCTCTCTGCTCTGTCTCTGCTCTGCTCTCTGTCTCTGCTCTGTCTCTGCTCTGTCTCTGCTCTGTCTTGCTCTGTCTCTGCTCTCTCTGCTCTGTCTCTGCTCTGTCTCTCTGCTCTGTCTCTCTGCTCTGTCTCTCTGCTCTGTCTCTCTGCTCTGTCTCTCTGCTCTGTCTGCTCTGTCTCTGCTCTGTCTGCTCTGTCTCTCTGCTCTGTCTCTGCTCTGGCTCTCTGTCTCTGCTCTGTCTCTGCTCTGTCTTTGCTCTGTCTTTGCTCTGTCTCTGCTCTGTCTCTCTGCTCTGTCTCTCTGCTCTGTCTCTGCTCTGTCTTTGCTCTGTCTCTCTGCTCTGTCTCTCTGCTCTGTCTCTGCTCTGTCTCTCTGCTCTCTCTCTGCTCTGTCTCTCTGCTCTGTCTCTGCTCTGACTCTCTCTCTCTGCTCTGTCTCTCTGCTCTGTCTCTCTGCTCTGTCTCTGCTCTGACTCTCTCTCTCTGCTCTGTCTCTCTGTCTCTGCTCTGTCTCTCTGGCTCTCTGTCTCGCTGCTCTCTAGAGTGTCTCACCTGTCTGCACCTGCGTAACACACAGTTTAACTCCAGGTTCAGTCCAGGACCTCAGAAGCCCACCAGAGCTCCCTCGGCCCGCGCCAACCCCAACTTCCTCCACCGCGCCGCATACTATAATACTACTTTGCATGTCTCTGTATGGTCCAATTACATTAATGAACTGTGATTGGCCGTACTTTACCCGCTATTCCACGCGGGGGCTCTCCCCTGGTAACTCATGTCAACACTCGTTAATATGACAAAAGGCTACAAATTAAGCTCTGTTAATTTAATGTTTTCTCACCGCGATCTAAATACCGAAAGAGGCCCCGAGCACAGCCACGGCGCCCTTTGATTTGCTGCACTTTATTTTGGTATAAATTTACATTCATTATTGTTTGTCTTTGGATGTGTAGACCTCAATTAGCGTGATGGCTCCATTAAAGGAAACCAGGCTTCGTCTTTAATTATCACAACAAAACACCTAGTTCCAGCTCGGGGAAGAACGGGGCCCCACTACGTCGCCACAGAGCGAAGGGTTATGAAATTTAATTAGCCATCGCTATCAAGATTTGTGGCATTCAAATTGTTCAGAGTTTTCCGTGCCTTTGATCGGCGCTCTGCAATCCCCTAGATTTTTGTCCTGATCAAATGAGAATAAAAAGGAGCACGTAGGGGAGGCAGGCGCGGGACACAGGGCCGCACCTTCCACGCGTCCGTCAAGCATCCGTCTTTACCTTTTGCACCTCTCTTTTCTCCTCCTTCTTCACAGGCAAGGTCAACCTGTTTATCCAATCACGACAGGGGGCTTCAGACACCCCTACCCAACCGCTCTGACTGTCAACGCCTCCATGTCAAGGTGAGCCCAGGCCCGCTACACACACACATACACATACACACATACACACATACACATACACACCGGCGCATAGGTGCCACTGGGCTTAGCTTCTCACTCAAAAAAAGAAAGAAAAAAAAGACCCTTCACAAGAACTCCCTCTCCACATCGCCACGTTCAAAAGGCCCAATCCTCCAGCGTGGCGCTCCGAGCTCGCATGCTCAAATATTAATTATATTTATCTTTTTCTAATGAGGCCCCTGAAGAACGTTTACCCCCGCCGCATGTCAGCCCCAGCCCGAGCGCGTGTCCTTGCCTCAGATTTGATCAGCCAGTCCGATAAACAAACAGTGCAAACGCTTTGAAGGGGACTAGTTGATGAGGAGACGTAGGCCTTGACACTTTTGGGTCTCGCCCCATTAGGGTCCGACCGGAGTGTAGACGTTATTGCACCCGCGAGGCTCGAGTCGCATGTGTTGCCGCCTTGTATACATGCGCGTCGTGTTTGTCAGCGCCTGTTAAACGACTTATTGTTCCCAGGAGAGGTGCGCGGCGCCTATGTATCGCGTGTGAAGCGAGGCGAATTAATTTGGGTGGGGGGAGACTAAAAGGCTTGTGATTTGTGGGGTTAGAACAGGCCCTAAAAGAAGAAGAAAAAGAGAAAAACAAACAGTCCGACTGGCTCTGTCTCCTCCCCTCCTCTGCCTCTCCTCCCCTTCTCTTAGTGCCCTTGCAGCAGGGGACTTTGGGGACTGTTATTGGGAGTCTAGGGAAGATTCCGAGCTTTGGTTTAATTACAGTCTGATTGGAACAGCAGCTCCTGAGGGCGGCTGGTTAGGCCTCCGTGACATTGATGGATCATGCAGATGCAGAGGGGAGGGGAAGGGGGGAGGTCGTATTGTTTAAAGCCCTGAAATAAAGTTTGGCAGTGAGCTTAGGCAGAGTCCAGATGAATGAATAAACGTCTCCCGGAGTCTGACCTTACTCTTAAATTCAATTGGGTTTACGCCGTGTCAAATTTTGAACTTGTTTTCAGGTGCAAAGGGGTCAGACTTCAGCATCTGGCAACATGCGCAGAGCCAAAAACACGACTTTAAGTGACTGCTAATTTGCCCCCGTAATGACAGGCCCCACATTGATCATCTTATTTCCAGTGTGGCTAATTGAATCTGCCGGCTGGCTTGTGCGGAGGGGGGACTGGCCAGGGGGAAGAGCTAATGCCCTGTGATGAGGCCCTTAATTGAATTAGGGCAGCTGAAAACATGGGAGGGGGCGACGCTGGGAGAGCTTTTTTTTTCCAAAATGGGGAAGGTTTAACACATCTCTGAGAAACGAGGGGGGAAAGTTAAGAGTGTGCAGGACAGAAAGCGGAGGTTTCAATTTGTTGACAAAATCCGAGCATGAGCGAGAGAAGCGCATCTGTCAGGTGCTTGGTTTTGTTCAAAGACTTCCACCGTTGTTAGACTTGTAGACAGGCACGGAGAAAGTAGTGAGCAAAAAAGACATCCTTGGCCTTGCATTCTCGCATGGAGCCAAGTCTCAGTCCCCCGTGCCCAGAATTAGGATGCAGAGAGCAGACGTGCGATCTTGTAAGGCCTGCAATGAGCACCTTACACCCAGGTCCTGTTAAAAAATACATTCTTTCAGGACGTGGAGAAAACGAGGTAGAAGTAGTCGTCAGTGAAGAAAATGAAAGACATTATTTTGATAATGGGGTTAGGCGCAGGTTCCTTATATAATGTGTGACACTGTGACAGGTGGGAGGATATGAGAGCCCCCCTTTGGCCCCTTCTGCTTAAGCCTGCCCTTTGATACGGCCCCCACACCCCGCCATCACCCCTGCTATCACTCTCTTTTTCCTGGGGTACAGGGGAAGCCAACTGGCCCCATCATTATACATTAAACAGGCGCACGGGCTACTGCCTCGCACCAGAAATTAAATGGCACTGGCTGACACTGGGCCCGCTGCTTCCCTCACCCCCCTCCCCCCTGTCCATCCAAGCGCCCCGCACCTTTCAGATTGAGACGTCGCAGCCCCGGGGTCGGTGGTTGGTGGTGGGAGGGGCGATTGAGTTTCTTTTCTCACTGCCTGCGTGGGTTAAATTGGTCCTTTTGCCGCTGATGATGGTGATGTTGATGATGAGGACGATGCCTTCAAAGGGATGGCCGTCATGTTTAAACCATAACCTGTGCTACGCTCGGGGATGGAGGGGAGAGGAGGGGGGTGGGTTAGGCTGGGAGAGGTGGCGAAGGGACAGGGAGGAGTAGAAGGAGAAAAAATAGATCTTGGAACAGAGGAAATTTTAACAAGAGAGAAAGGGAGGAAGAGGCAGGGAGCGCGGGAAATGCAGCAGCCCTAATGACGGGCGATATATATACAGCCAGTGTGCTGCCTGAGCTCCCCATCAACGCATGACATGGCACAAACACCAATGTGTCAGTGATGAAGGCAGAAGAGGGGAAAAGGAGGGAGAGAGGAGAGAGTTTGAGGGGGGAGCACACTGGCACTCCCCTGAGATGGCCTCCAACAGAAACTAGTTGTTCCTGGCGCGTTTATCCTCATCATTAAATTCTGGCTCGGAGCCATGCAGCCAGACACAGTCGGATAATGAGCTGTTTTCAACAAAAAAAAAAAAAAAAAAAAAAAAATAGATTTATTCCATCTTTCTTTTTTCTCCTTCATCCTCTTCTCTTAAATGTATGTGTGTAAGTGTGTGTGCTTTGTAAACACACACACACACACACACACACACACACATGCAGATGCAGGTTAGAATAATCACAGGCGAATAATTAGCGCGGTACAAACTGTAGCGTAACATTTGCGGCGGGGCTTCGTCTTCTGACAGGCAGCCCCTTCTGAATCCATTTCACAAATAAAGGATTGTGGCCTGAATGTGTGCAGCTGTGGAGATGATGAAATGATGATAGCAGAGCAGAGGGAGGCAGATAAAAATGTCAGAGCTGCTGACAGTGCTGAATTGGCAGAAAAGAAGCCGGGAGGAAGCAAATACAGGGCCAATACCTGAAGTGATACTAGACTTTGATAGAACATTTCAATCTATTCTTCCATAGGAGATAATGGCCCTCACTTTACTTTACCCCTCGGAACGCAGCCTTTTTTTTCATACCAGTCACATTTTCTCCGATTCTGCCATAAATTATCATCGGTCAATTGTAATATGCAATGTGTGGCGACAGAATCAGATTTGGAGATCATTTAGTTGGTCATTTTGAGGTGGGAAATGACCCCAAAAAAATAAGATTAATAAGCAAATTACCAGAGTAAAAATACAAAAAGGAACCAAACAGACAAGAACTAAAAGAGACGTTAAAATATACAATGAAAGAACAGGGAATGAAGAACGACACATGGTTCAAATAGGTACGGTAGTAAACAGGAAGTAGAGCTATGGAACACACAAGGGGGTTAACTGATTACAAAATAAAACCGGATAAATGAACCTAACCCATAACAAGGTGTGCACAAACACTCGCTCCCCAACACATTGTAAGGACTGCTAATCTAATGCTAACAACACAACTGTTTAGCTTAGCCTTTTTATACTGTTTCCAACCGATCACACACAGACTTTTAATAATCCACTCGACCAGTTTGACCAATATCGTGGCGTTCTGTGTAATTGTTTTGTTGTGTTGCATGTAATTGTGTCGATCTTATACGATCAACAAGTGGCAGTGGTCTATTCACTGGAGCTTGAATAGCGCCGTTAGCCTCGGCCACGTCCATGTTTGTTTGTGGATAGTTCCGAAGGCCAGTCCCCGCTCCTCCAGACGTAATTGAACACAGGTCTTGAACTTGGGGGGAGCGGGACCGCGAGCCTTGTCGATTTTTCGAGTGTCTGTTTTTGTCTCTTTTCAAGTGTATTTTTGTGCTTCATCCCCCCATTTCACCCGTGTCCATTCTGACGATTTACACAGTTTTCTGTCCTCCAGGTTCCCCCCACACATGGTGCCCCCCCATCACAGTTTGCACACCACCGGCATCCCCCACCCGGCCATCGTCACCCCCAACGTAAAGCAGGAGTCGTCTCACAGTGACATCAGCTCGCTCAACAGCTCGTGAGTCCAAATACTGACGTTTTATCCATTGCACCGACAACAAATACATACATGTTTTATACTGCCTCCAATACATATCATATGGAATTGAAAAAAATAGCTAGTTCTGGCTGTTTACACTGCCGGTTTGTGTCCTCCATGGCTTTCAGAATGATGACAAATTAGAACCATTGCTTTAGTTAAGAGCCATTTAAATCAAATCTAGCAAAACTGACCATGGTTCTTCTGTAAAAACATGCATAAGTAATGTTCAAAGGCGTCACAAACTGGTCTGATGCACTGGAATAATGTATTTTATTGATTGATTGTAGGGACGATCCAACATATGTCCTTTCACTGGGAGAAAGTTATCAAAATGTTGCATGTATAGCAGCAAGATGCATCTCATTAGTCATTTATTAGCAGCTTTCCCCTTACACGGTTCACTATAATACTCTCAAAACGTCTCATTTCTGTGATATCAGCGAACGGCCTGCTTCTAATTGCAAAAGCACGGACGGTACTGATTCGACCGTGTTCTCTCTGTGCACAGGAAACAGGATGCGAAGAAGGAGGAGGAGAAAAAAAAGCAGGTGCACATAAAAAAGCCTCTGAACGCCTTCATGCTGTACATGAAGGAGATGCGGGCCAAGGTGGTGGCCGAGTGCACGCTGAAAGAGAGCGCAGCCATTAACCAGATACTGGGCCGAAGGGTAAGGCACACACCGTCATAATCACACTGGCATTCGCTGCTACACTTCTGTCTGGACTCTTAATTACACCTGTTTATAAATCGCTCCGGCTGCATTTGAAAATAAGTCATTTTTTTCCCACATATAGTTTACACAGATTTTCATAATGTTCTGTAACTTAAAGTGGTTCTCACCCCCGCTCCTCGGAGCTTACGTCACTCACATTTCCTGTTCAAATCTTCCTCTAAATGGGCGTAGCCTGGAGGACTGAAGGGGCGTGAACGAGACTGGGCCGTTTACATTGCTCTGGGCGGGGGGCTGCTGACGTCAGGTCCAACTTGCAGACGTCAGGTCCAACTTCTGTGCCAGTGTTGGCGCCAGATTCAAAATTCAAATGTAGTAATACAGGTCGCCAGCAGATGGCGCCTCACAGACGGTTTTAGGCAGAACGTCTAACTTTCAACTAATTTGCACCAAAGTGACAAGATTATGACCAGGATATGTAGACAACACTATTGGACACTCATTTATACCGTTTATCAGCAAAAAAAAGTGGATTTGAGGGTGAGTTGTCCTTTAAAGAGCGACTAAACACCTGTGCCCAGCCTGACTCCGCCCACATGAAGATTTGAAAATGTTCTCTAAAAAGGGCGTTGCCTGGAGGACCAAGGGACAAGAAGGGGGGCTTAGAGTTGGGCGTGGTCTGGGCTGTGATTGACAGCTCACTTGTCACACAAAAAAAAAAAACAGACAGTTGTCATTGCTGCTTAAAGCAATAGTTTACAGACCAGAAAGTCTCATTCCACCCTTGTTTACACACTAAGATAATTGTAAAGCTACACACCTGAACCTAATCACACTCAATAATCTCAGAATGACTCATGTAATTTAATTATAATCCACTAGATGGCGCCAGAATACTCCAAACTGCAGCTGGGGCGTGTGTGAGAGTTGAATGGGTTCACATCACTGGCTCTGACAGACTGACGTCACACAAAACAACTGATGTCATAGAGAACTTCAGAGTCAATGGAGAGGCCAGGACCAAATTCAAATGTAGTACCACCAAAAAGGTTGAGAGGGCGCCACACAGATGTTTTTTGGCTCAAAAGTGATATTTTATCTAATTTGAACTAAAATGTCAAAAAAATCCAGGATATGTAGAGAGCACTACAATAAACATATTTATGGAGTTTATGAGTTGAAAAAAGTTGATTTGGCGTTTAGTCGCTCTTTAAGCAGCAGCTGATGGAGCAAAACAAAGCAGATAGACGACTGTTTTAACTGGACACAACCTCATGGCTCTTTCTGCTGTTCACATAAACGCACTGAAGCAGGAATGTGTGCCGATAGAGCAAGACAGACACCAGGGGGAGCTCTAACAGATTAGAAAATACATTGGCCGCGTTGCTACAGTGTCACTGTGATGATGTGGAGGTCTTGATGTACGCTGATGACACGGTTCTATTTACTCACAGCTCTGATGCAAATCTTGTCGCAGATAAATGATCTATAGCTATGAATAAAGTAAAAGAGTGGTTGAACAAGTCGAGCCTTGTGCTGAATTCAGAAAAAACTGTTACTATGTATTTTTCCAACAAAAGAAAGAGTGTTCTTCCAAATATCTATGTGGATGGTTTGATGATCAAAAATGTCCAAGAAATCAAGTACCTAGGTGTAGTGCTGAATCCTACCCTTAATTTTAAAAACCATGTTAAAAAGGTTTGCCGCGTTCTGAAATTTAAGATCGCCAACTTCCAGCACATCAGGAGCTCTTTGTCATTGGAAGCAGCTACATCATATCTCAATGCAATGATTATATCTCATATCATGTATTGTGTGTCTTCATGGTCTCAAGCTAAAACAACGGTTTTAAACCCCCTTAGATCGTTGTATAACCAGGCTTTGAAAGTCCTGGATAAAAAGCCTCGCCGGTACCATCACTGCAATATACTTGAAAAATACAGCATACTAAGCTTTGACAATCTGATTAGGTATTCCAATGTACGTTTGGTTCATAAGATTCTTAATGATACTGCCCCACCCCCCCTAAAAACATATGTACAGCTTCGCTCACAGCTAACCAACAGAGCATTAAGATCTGTGTCCAGGGGTGACTGCAATGTTCCTAAGAGAAAGTCTGCCTTCTCTCAATCAGCCTTTTCCTACAAAGCCACTAAAGAATGGAATGGGCTCCCAGACAATCTAAAGAACAATGCAGATTTCCACAGTTTTTCACGGGCAGTTAAAGACTGGCTTTTAGATCAACAGTCCTGCTCGCACTAAAAGTACCAGATGGGTACTTGGCCATCAGGTGTTACCCTCGCGGGTATCGTCTGATGGCCACCACATCACCACATTATTAGTGTTAAAAACTATTGTATCTATGTGCTAAGTATGTATAGCTACTAAATAATTATGAAAACTGTTGCACTTTATCATTCTGCACTTTATGAACGCAACTGGCACTTTTCATCTGCACTTTTACTATATATTGTAAGTAGTAAGTAAGTAAGTAAGTTTGTATTTATATACCGCCTTTTCACTGCAGATCTGAGTCTCAAAGCGGTTTACAATTGTTAATATTGGGCATTTGTCTCTCACTCCACACAGAGATGGGAGCGGGGTCGCCAGTACAGGAGGCGCATGCCAGAACTATTGGACATATTTTTAGTGGTAGGGGAAACCGGAGTACCCGGAGGAAACCTACGCAGACACGGGGAGAACATGCAAACTCCACTCAGAAAGGCCCTGGTCCGGCCGGGATTCGAACCCAGGACCTTCTTGCTGAGAGGCGAGAGTGCTATCCACTCAGCCACCGTGCCGCCCGTATTGCATGTTTATTGTCTATGTTTTGTATTGTAATTAACTCTGCTATGTATTTTAATTGTATTTTTGATTGTATAAGGACTACAGATGGAAATTAGCATTGTGCTAAATCTGGGGCAGCCATCTTTTTAATGTACCTGTCCGTTGTCCTTTTAAATAAATAACTAACTAACTAACTAACTAACTAATAGGCTGCTGAGTTCAATGAAAATTAAAAATCATACTGTTTTCTCGTCATACCTGCCTCGTCTTTTTCAGCTCTTATTTTTATCTTTTCTTCATCATCATTCATACAAATATGTGAGCAATACCAGCGTAGGGACTAAACATTGTACCTGTTTGCTCACATTACAGGGACATGTGTTACTGAACTGTTACTGATCATGAAATAACTACAAAGCAGCTTCGTAAAGGCACAAGTTCAAACAGCACTATCGTTAAAACCAAATGGAGCCACAGACTATCGGCCCGAATCGATTCACGAGGATCAACATCCAGTCGGATCAAATTGAGCAAATTTCTGCAAATCTTCTGCAATTCTGAAACAAACTCAAGACAATCTTTCAAATCGCTGTAGATCGCTCACTTTTGCTTTGATCCACATTTCCTTTGTGTAGTAAACAAGAGTGAATCACTTTAACGGAGCTGTAATACTTCAACAGAACATTGGAAAAAACATGAAAGTCAAAAGTCTAAAGCTTCGAGGCGAGGCAGGTTTATCTGTATGGCGCAATTCACACACAACTTGATAGAAACGGTCACACAAGGCGGTCAAATCAGAAATAATCACAAATTGCAAAGAGTGAAGATGAAATCCTTCAGTTGTTGCAGCAAAACCATTATTTTTAACCTGGATATATGCATTGTCAGAGAAGAGGCCTGTCTCACATTTTCAGGAAGACTGCAGCCTCCCCATGTTTAGTTCTGACTCTGAGCTCTGGCATGGACTGGGAATATTCAGAGATTATCATAGAGCCTGAATTTCACACCTGACTTTCTCCTACGGGGATCAATAAAGTATCCATCTATCTATCTATCTATCTATCTATCTATCTAC